TGTGCCGGGCGCCTGCTCCCCTCCCTCCTCCTCTCGGTCGGCCGCTCCCCTGCCTCCTCTCGGTTGGCAGCCCCAAAAGTCCGCGCGGACCTTTTAATCCGGCCCGCGGATGTGGCTGTCAGGATGTGTGTAGGCGGGGCAGCGTGCCGAACGTGAGGGGAGGGGAGCTAGGCTCCTCTCACAGTCCGCCCTGAAGACCCGAACGGCGCGGGAAGACAGCGAGAGGAACGCAAAAGGTAAGTGAATTGACACGGGGGACTTGGCTTACTAGAAGGGGGGGGGGGGGTAATAGTACTGTGGGGGATGAAATACTATATGAGGGATGAATTACTTTATGAGGGGATGAATTACTATATGGGGGGATGAAATACTATATGAGGGATGAAATACTATATGAGGGATGAATTACTATATGAGGGATGAAATACTATATGGGGGGATGAAATACTATATGAGGGATGAATTACTATATGGGGGATGAAATACTATATGGGGGGATGAAATACTATATGGGGGGATGAAATACTATATGAGGGATGAATTACTATATGGGGGATGAATTACTATATGAGGGATGAATTACTATATGGGGGGATGAAATACTATATGAGGGATGAAATACTATATGAGGGATGAATTACTATATGAGGGATGAAATACTATATGGGGGGATGAAATACTATATGAGGGATGAATTACTATATGAGGGATGAAATACTATATGAGGGATGAAATACTATATGGGGGATGAAATACTATATGGGGGATGAAATACTATATGGGGGGGATGGGGGGAAATACTATATGGGGGGATGAAATACTATATGGGGGGATGAATTACTATATGAGGGATGAATTACTATATGAGGGATGAAATACTATATGAGGGATGAATTACTATATGAGGGATGAATTACTATATGAGGGATGAAATACTATATGAGGGATGAAATACTATATGAGGGATGAATTACTATATGAGGGATGAAATACTATATGGGGGGATGAAATACTATATGGGGGGATGAAATACTATATGGGGGATGAAATACTATATGGGGGGATGAAATACTATATGGGGGGATGAAATACTATATGGGGGATGAAATACTATATGGGGGGATGAAATACTATATGGGAGGATGAAATACTATATGGGGGATGAAATACTATATGGGGGATGAAATACTATATGAGGGATGAATTACTATATGGGGGATGAAATACTATACGGGGGATGAATTGCTATGGGGGATGAATTACTATATGGGGGATGAATTACTATGGGGGATGAATTACTATATGGGGGATGAATTACTATATGGGGGATGAATTACTATGGGGGATGAATTACTATATGGAGGATGAATTACTATATGGGGGATGAATTACTATGGGGGATGAATTACGATGGGGGATGAATTACTATATGGGGATGAATTACTATGGGGGATGAATTACACACTATGGGGGTGAATTACTATATGGGGGATGAATTACTATGGGGGATGAATTACTATATGGGAGATGTATTTTCAGTTTTAAAAATGTGGCTCTCAAAATAAATTTCAATCATGGTTTTGGCGAGATTTGGCTCAGTTGAAAAAAAAGGTTGCCCACCACTGGTCTAGTAGAACCATGTTTTGCGAAACATCTCTCTGTGATTTGCAGAGACAAGGATATCTTCCATTCTGTAAATTCCTCAATGTTGTGTAACCAGACATGTTGAACACTTAAGTGTACAATAACTGATAGGACAAACCATGTCTGTTTTCTGCAACTCTTAAATTTTATTGTCCATCAGAATCATTTTGTATTCTCTGGTAGATTTTATTGTATGCAAATGGTCCCTCCATGGGAGCGACTTGAATATTCATCTTACCTATATGGTAGATGAGAATGTAGTTATGTTTTTGGACTTACAGGTCTCTAATGACAATGGTATAAGGCAAGTCTTTTTGGACTCTGGTTACCCTGCACCACTGCACAGAACAGGAGGGCACTCTTCACAAACTCATAGTCCAGAATCCTGCTATGGACAGAGGAATGGCCAGTATCTAATTCCCTAATTTATCGATAAAAAAAAATCATCTGTGCATGAGCAGTGACCTGCAAGAGGAAGACAAGAAGAAGAGGATGAAGGAAGAAGAGGATGAGAAGAAGAATTCCAGTCTGGCAAAAAGTGTCCCTGCAGAGAGCTCCGCTATTTCTTTGACAGTTCCTTGACATTTATAGTGGTTGCAACAATGTATCTATTTGTTTCCGAATAAAAACATCTATCCAAAATGGATACATATAGATACATTGTTGCAACCGCTATAAATGTCAAGGAACTGTCAAAGAAATAGCGGAGCTCTCTGCAGGGACACTTTTTGCCGGCTGTAGGCGGGATGAAAATCGGGCATTTTTTTTATTTTCCGTTCCTGGTAACGTCGGCTGCTTGAACGACCGATTTTTTTTTTTTTTTTTTTTTTTTTTTTTTAAAGAAAAATCGGCCGGTTTTTCTCCCCATCTATGGCCTGCATAAGGCTTGCCTCAGATGGGGCAACAACCTTCTCTAAATCTGGGAACTTTCCTGGCTGGGGAAATACAATCTATCCAGGACTCTAGATTACTTCAACTTCCCAGCCACCATCTGGGCACACCTCCCCAGTGATTGGCTAGGCCCTGATCAATATTCAGGCTGTTATTTGAATTATCCCTCCCCAAGCTTCTCCCTAACTTCTAGAGGCAGGGGGAAGCAAAACAGATCTGACCAATCACCGCTCCCTTGATTACAGAAGGAGCCAAAAACAGTTTACCTACCATTCTTCACTAGGAGGGTGCTACGACTGGTTTCCAATACCTGTGATTGAGTGTATATAATGCTAATTTTAGTTTGGCTTTAAAATATATGTAAACCTTCACCTTGTAAGAAAAGAACCATTCAGTTTAAAATTGAAATGAAAGGCAACTAATTTGTGCAAACATATAAAAAAAATTATAAATACTTTTTTTTTTTTTTTTTTTGCCTTCTTTTATAAGTGATCACATACCATCTGTTCTCAGCTGCATAAGGATCTGATAAAGCTATAGAAGAAGCAGCAGCAGCACAGTGATCTTCCCAGTGAATGGCTGTGAAGTGGAGACAGGGGGGGGGTCAGTAAAAGTCTGATCCTTGGAGGAGAGCAGGCGGAGTTCCCAGCACAGCTAGAGGACTGACCATGGTGTGTTCTCCTGCTTAGTGTGGTCAGTTTTTAATAGTAAAGCAGAAGGACTGGCAGGAACACCAGGGATTTCACACAAAGGAAGCAATACAAGGAGAACAGGATAGTTTTTTCATTCACGTGCATGGTATAGCAGGCATATATCAGGAATATGAAATGTGGGGTTTACATATACTTTAACTTTAAAAATTTTAAAGACAGTTTTTCTCTATTTGAAGAGCATCTGTGCTGGGAAAAATAAAGAATGTTAGCCATACAGTATCTGAGCCCTGTCTCTCTTGGCCCCCTTGTCCATTTAATGATACCTAGAGCTGTCAAGGCATGTTATTGGGTTACATGGAGAGCTGCATAAGAATTTGTATTGTACATAAAGCATGTCTCACACTGGTCTATTGCTTTTCCTGGCGTTATTTAAGTTTCCAAGTTCTGTAGTCCAGCTACAGTTTATATACTGTCTCAGGTTCTTAGAAATAAAATGGAATACTAGCATCAGCTGCCAAAACTACGAACCATGTTGTGCCAGCCACACCATGCCCACCGCATCTGGGCAGCAGTACACAGGGCTCCAAATTGCCCAGAAACAGATACTCAGCACCAGATAAGACCTCCATCAGGAAGTGGTTTGAAATGAGTGGAAAAAGGTAGTTCTCAGATGTGTAAATTTAGCTGTATGGGGAACTGGAAGATTCAATGCCGAAATGTCCAATAACAACATAACCATCATCTGGGAGGAACAGACCTTCACTGGTGGTCCACCATGTGTCTGTTCAATTCTGCAATTTTCAGCGCATGATTGTGTGCAATTACCCTGGGAATCCAATACAACATCCAAAGAACTACATCTAAAACTAGTAGCTGCAATCTGAAAAATAAAGAATTGAGGGGGGGGGGGGGGGGGTTGGGAGTTATATCTAAAATGTGTCTCAACCAAAATGCAACAATTTTTATTTTATTGCAGATTACCAAACCTTAGCCTCAGATGTTGTGGCTGTATTGCTGCATTAATTTTTACTTTTCAGGCTAAAAATAATTTCAGCAAGTACAGAAAAAAAAATGAATATCAGAAGAGAAATGCAAGTCCTTGTTGCTTCCTCTGAGTTTAAAAATGGCACAAAGAATTTTATCTTTATTGTGTAAACTATTAATCCCATCAGTCGTCCTTAAAGATCAACAAACAAACGCGGACATGACATGTTTGCAGCCCATTCTGTGTGACAGACATTGCTGGCCCCATAGATAACAATGTGTAGATGTTTAGGGGCAGTAAGTGTGTTATGTGCAGGAATAGAAATGGAAATAAAAGAAAAAAAATCATGAAAAAGAGAACTGATGCAGCAAACACGTGTAAAGACTGGTAAGCTGCAAAGTATTACATATTTGATTACATATTTGTTTTTGGGCTGATATACACTAAGCCCATAAACCAGGGGTATAGCGGAAATTCTAGAAGACCCAGCACACCCATAAGTAGGGAAAGTCTTGGTGGTATGATATATTAATATGTATAGCCACTTGATCAATAATGACATTGTGGGGAAATCTTTACTATTTCCATTAAAGGATATCTAAACCCTAACAAAGAACTTCTCTTATTTGGTCACTTTTGTTCTGTAAATATACCATTAAAGTGATATTAAAGGTTTGTGTGTTTTTGTTTTTCGTTTTTTTAAATAACATGTCATACGTACCAGTGGTTTTGCACAGAGGAGCACCGATCCTCTTCTTCTTGGGTCCCCCGCTGAAACTCCTAGCTCCTCCCCCTTAACCAGTGCAACCAACAGCAAGCCGCTCCTGAGCCAGGGGTGGACTGACAACTCATGGGGCCCCCGGGCAATAGGAGATCATGGTGCCCCTGTGCCCTTGCCCAAACTCCAAAAAGCCTATGAAAAAGGTACCAGGGGCATCTCATGGGGCCCCCTACTGACCCCGGGCCCTCGGGCAGTGCCCGAGTTTTCAAATGGTCAGTCCGCACCTGTCCTGATCCCTGCTCTGTATCCAGTGCATGTAACCATTCAGGGACAGGAAGAGTGTTCTTCGCAGGATCAGCTGGTAAAAATAAAGGTGGGGGAAAAAGCCAGAAAAAAAATTAATACATGCATGTTCTCAAAGGACAGATAAGCTGCAATATATTACATTTTTGCAAAGTCGTTTTTGATTAACTTTGTTCATGTTGTTCTGTTTTTTGTTTTTAATAAAGCTACCCTGTTGCAAAAAAAAAAAAAAAAAAAAAAAAACAGCTGTTACTTCTGAAAGAACTTTCTGAGTGCCCTTGCTGGCAAATACCACTCCTTGTCAAAACAGACCCTGGCCCCCCTCAGTATGCAAATAATAACTTTTATAAAAACTGATGTGATAACAACACCCAGCACTAAATCCCACAATGCACTGCAGGGCTTCAGTAATTTATTAACGGTAGTGCTTGCATTGATATGTTGGATGATGGGTGTTCATCAGTGATGATGTTTCTAAAAGTCTGTTTATAGTATTACTAAACCCACAACAGTAAAATCGGTCTGTATATGCAGTAAAGCATGCTTATTATACTCACTGTGAAACCTAAGGCGTTAATCTCTGCAATATGTAAAAAGGCTGTTTCATCTCCTGATATATCAGAGCTTTAGGGGCAAGCTGCACATGCTCAGTTTGGTGTTCATTGCTAGAGCATTTTTTTTTTTTTTTCCTTTTCACTGAGAAGGGTGCATGTGATCAGCACAAGCACTGTCCAGACAGAGGGTCAGGGGTCCTGCAGTCTCATAGGACAATCAGGGGAGAATGAAAACCCCTCCTGCAAGCTTTACCCAATCCTCTGCTGGACACTGATAGAAGTCACAAGACTACTAACTGCTGATGAGAAAAGGAATTTAGCAGTTTATATTTGCTAAAATAATTGCATTTCCATGTTCTGTGTAATGTGGGAGACCGGATGTAGTGAATCCAGGATCCTGGGTTTAGTAACACTTTAAAGCAGAGTTGCAGTGAAATTGTAAAAAATAAGTCAGCAGCTATAAAATTAGTTTCACTGGCTGTCCTGTGTTCCCGGTACCGGCATCTTCAGTGTGGACACCCGGCTGTGATAGCTTGCGGCTTCATAGCCAAGTGGCCACTGCGCATGAGCACTGTGCTTTTTATTGGTCTCGTAGTCTTCTGTCCCAGAAGACTACAGAGAGGGAGGGGGTGAGGATAACTTCTGCTTCCGATCGCCTAGGAGATCACAGCAGAAGTGGGAGCGGGTACCTGTCAATTTTAGGTACCCGCTCCCCATAGGTGCCAATCCCTAATGGGGAGCAGGGGACCAGTCCTTAAAGAGGACCTTCTGTTTTTGGGTGGAGCTCCGCTTTAAGTGCTTCCAGGGGCCCTGCTGCAACACTTTAGGATAGATAGAAGAAGTAACTGGCACCTTCTTGCTCTTTTCTGCTAGAAGGTGGGTTGGTTTATGGTAGGCTGTAATTAGCAGTGTCCACCTTTTGGGTGTGTATAGTGGCTGAGATGTGTAGATTATAAAGACAGAATAGACAGAAGAAAAAATATTTTGGTAGGTAGAAAAATTATATATGTATTTAAACAGCTTTTTAGGTATGTGGCTGGAGTTGCACTATTTTTTAAATCTCATGTTTTTTTTCTTGACTGAGATATTCCCTGGATGTTATAACATGAGTCAGAAGTGAGGGTTCTCTGACAGTAGGGGATTTTATCATTTACAGTCTAAGGCAGACATGCTTCATGAAAGAAAACACTGAGTCCTTCTAGTATATCACGGTCAGATGAGGTAATGTTACACACTGTGCTGTAAATACTGCTGCCTGAGGAACCATTATCTCTGATTAGAACTAGGTTGTATGCATTGAAAGTGAGAATCATATATCCTGTGTACAAGAAAGCTATAGGCCTTCATGTTGTGTATTAAAATGATGTGGAAAGGCTATTAATGTCTATGGGTTTAGGAGCTTCACCACGAGTGGAATACTAGTACATTTAAATCCTAATCTGCAAATAATTGTTTTATGTATGTGCCACCCTTGACATTCCCACCTAATAATAACTTTTGTATCAACTGGGAAAGACCAGAAATCAGTGCTTGGTGCACAGATGACCTGTAAAGTAAGAAAGGGGGCTGGATTTACGCTAATACCGTATATAAAGTATAAATTCAGTTTAATGGAGAACAAATGCCCACCATGTGATTCAAAGAATACAAAGGATTTAGGACAACAAAACCATACCTGCTTTTGGTTTGGAGATGCTGATGTAGGCACTGGGATTATCTGCTTTCACAGAACCTCCTGAGAGGTCTCCTTGTAATGAGGAAAGCTGCAACCTCAACATTGCATGGGGATGTGGGATTCAGGCTCGGTGCAGACTTCTAGGAGATGCAGTAAGCCATATGCAGGGGCGGACTGACCATTTGGAAGCGCGGGCACTGCCCGAGGGCCTGCGGTCAGTAGGGGCCCCATGAGATGCCCCTGGTACCTTTTTTTTCATTGGCTTTTTTGAGTTTGGGCAAGGACACAGGGGTCCCATGATCCCCTATTGCCCGAGGGCCCCATGAGTTGTCAGTCCGCCCCTGGCCATATGTATGAGCTCGGGGCTGGAAGTTCAGGGGCATGTTTTACACAACGTTGCCATGATTAAATCGATATTAAACCCCAAACCAAAAATATAATACATTGCAGTTTACCAATCATAAGATGTAGTGGCAGCATTAGTGTTTGGTTTTTTTTTTAGGCTTTTTCCCTTGGTGATCTGGCTAGTAACACACATCCTGTATTAGAGTGCCTCTGGGATCCTTCCTTTTTTTTTTTTTTTTTTTTTTTTTTTATTGATGGTCCTGGTTGTGGGGTGATGGGTGTGCTACTTTTGTCTTATGTCTGTCCCATAAGTCTGTTTTCCCCTTCTCTTTTTCTCCTCCCCACTTCTATTCCCTGTCCCCCCTCTTTCATCTCCCTCTGCTTCTCTCTCTCACTGATCTCTCTCTCGCTGATCTCTCTCTCTCTCTCTCGCTGATCTCTCTCTCTCTCTCTCGCTGATCTCTCTCTCTCTCTCTCTCTCTCTCGCTGATCTCTCTCTCTCTCTCTCGCTGATCTCTCTCTCTCTCTCTCGCTGATCTCTCTCTTGCTGATCTCTCTCTCTCTCGCTGATCTCTCTCTCGCTGATCTCTCTCTCTCTCTCGCTGATCTCTCTCTTCTCGCTGATCTCTCTCTCTCGCTGATCTCTCTCTCTCGCTGATCTCTCTCTCTCGCTGATCTCTCTCTCTCTCTCTCGCTGATCTCTCTCGCTGATCTCTCTCTCTCTCTCTCTCGCTGATCTCTCTCTCTCTCTCTCTCTCTCTCTTGCTGATCTCTCTCTCTCTCTCTCTCGCTGATCTCTCTCTCTCTCTCTCTCTCTGGCTGATCTCTCTCTCTCCTATCCTATCACAACCCCCTGATGAAGCCACGTGATTGGAGGCGTAACGCGTAGGGGAGGGGCTACGTCATCACTCGGAGAGGAGCTGCACAACACGATAGACGGCAGGTGTATGACTCAGAGGCCAGCAGAGGATTTCCTATGGGATATTGCGTTATTTAAACCTGTCTAATGTGAGTTTTAATACTTGGATGGTGGGAAAAAAAAAGTTTTAAAAGGTAAAGCACTATGTCCTCTATTTCTTCCTGCATGCGGAGTAATACAAGGAGAGGATAATTAGGAGGTCTGAGATAACAAAAGGAGTGTGTAATCCCTGAGGGGATAATCAGCCACCAGAGGATTCATCCATTACTCCTAAAGGAGGGATCTCCCAATTTTACCAGCAAAAGTATATGTCCAGCAGGTTCCAGGGAAAGTGAACCGAAAGCGTGTATAGCCTAATTGCAGGCATCAAAGGAGGTGAGCGCACATCTTCACTATTTGAAGGATTCACAAAAGTCACAAATTGAAGAACAACAAGCACCAAGTCACTATATACAAACAATTGTTTATTCAATGGGACTATTATTTTGATGATATTTGGATTAATACTAATCACTACTAATTATTTATGAGCATTTGGTTATGTTTATTTATGGGGGATCATTTAAATGCATTTTAGTTGAGGGTTATTAGTTGGTTCACTATTTTTATTATATTAAATGAGGGTATTATGAATATAAATGAAATTGAGGGTATTAGTAAGTATATCATGTCACTAATAGATGATTTATGAGCACTTGGCAAAATATTTTTTTTAGAGGAGTATTTCATGTGGAATTATTTTGATATTTATTTGGAGGAGATTGATTAGCTGAAATTATCTGTTTAAATATTCTTTGGTATGTATACACTTTTATTAGTTATTTGTATCATAATTTGAATTTATTTAATTAATATTTATTGAGAAGTATTTAGGAGCGCAACATACATTTGTAGCTTGAAAAACTGTTCTAGCCTACAACAGACACATAGGATAACATTATTTTCCTTAGGGACAGGAAAAAAAACACTCGTAACTAGCTGGACTAGAGGTCAGCAGAAAGAACCACTAAGTGTTGCGGGGGGGGGGGGGGGGGGGGGGCAGTAAATCAACACCTCTGATACTGTTATTTTCTGTACAGATTCTGGGGTGGGGGTGGGTGGTTTATCCGCAATGGAGCAGCCTTTGCAAGCACGGGCAGCAGGAAAGGTGAGTGTTTACCATGTTAAAATTAACAATTTTATTCAGGCTAACTGACAGAGGGTTTGAATAGGGTCAGGTGGTCTAGTTTGCCCACAAATGGACCTCTTTGGGCGATTGTGAAGTATATATCCTGCTCTCTGTGTATTAAGGGTAGATGTAATAATCACGTTTCCAAATATTATCTAGATTTATGTACCTGTACCTTTTATGAAGTAACGAACAGAAGGAAACCACCTATGAAAGAAATAAAAGCTAGAGATGCTTGTTATTTATTGGTTTAATTTTTTTGCCGCCTTTCAGACTTCCTACTCTGTGCATTCCCCGGGGCTGAGCGGTATATTGGTGGTGTGGAACTGACAGCCGCTCTGGAGCTTAGTTGTGCTGCTGCTCATAGCTGAATGCCCAGGCCACTCCCCAGACTTTTTTTTTTTTTTTGTGTTACTAAACCCAGGACCCTGCATTCACTATATCTGATTTCCCACAGTACACAGGACATGGAAGTGCAATTATTTTAGTAAATACAAACTGATAAATACCTTTTGTCATCAGCAGTTTTGTCTTGTGACTTCTATCAGTGTCCAGCAGAGCACATGGTAAAGCTTGGAGGAGGAGTTTTTATTCTGCTCTAGGAAGATGCAGGACCCCTGACCTCTGTCTGGACAGTGCTGATTGGCCCTGTGCTGATCACGTGCACTCTCCCAAGGAAAAAAAAAAAACCTCTCTAGCAATACACACCAAACTGAGCATGTGTAAAGTGTCTCCACATGATAGGTCTTATCAGAAGATAAGAGGGGAACATTGGAAAAAGGGGAGAATCAGAGAAATCGGGATCAAACAGCGTTTTTACACAGTGCAGAGGATTAACCCCTTAGGTTGCACAGTGAGTATAACCAGCATGCTTTACTGCATATACAGACTGATTTTACGGTGGTGTGTTTAGTAACACTTTAATACACAGATTGATTTGACTGTTCTTTACATCTGTCTGCACTTACATTTTAATTATTTATTTTGTGTATGTTGCTCTCTACCTCATCTGCTGGGTAGCTATGCCATGAAACGGGTGTAGTAAATTATTAATCAAAATATGAACATCATGGCAGCTCTGTACCTGCCAAGCAGGATGCCCAGTGTGAGTGTAAAGGAGGCAGGGCTTTCTATGAGAGATCTTCACAATGTCTCTCAGTTGGTCACAGGATTTTGGCACTCAGCTGTGCTGTGAATACTTTGCCAAACTATCCAACTCCATTTATCTGCTTCCAAGAAAAGTTAAGAGCTTAAATATAAAGAAAAGGTAATTAATGACTTAAATTTTCTGCCAAGTTTTTTTTTTTTTTTTTTTTGTATTTTTTTTTTTCTTTTTACATGCCTGTACAGAAACCATATTCTCTGTAGCTAATGATGCAGTCGCACTCGCCATTAGCGGAGGCAAACCATGCATATGCTGCTATTAAACAGAACAACACCTGTTTAAAGTTAAAATCAGTTTACTGCATCTAATGTTTTGTATGCTGGTAGAATGACGTAGTGATAGTTTCTTTGCTGCTTGAAAAACGAAGCCAGTTTTCCCTGGCAACAAGTAACATCATACAGAGGAAAAATGCAATTTTCAATTACTATACATATGAAAAATATTTCAAGCTGATCTCCACTAAGTGATGTTCATTACCTGAAGGTGAGGTTACTCTGTTTTCTAAGATTCACCTTCTTGCCCTTCTCCAATAAAGCTGTACTCCAGCCATAAGGCTAGTTGAGGTACATATATAGTAAAAGTATGTGACACTGCTCAACCACTTTTTTGATCCACAAAGCCCTGCCACACTACATAGCCAGGTGAAGGACAGTAGCCTCTTTTGGAGAACTATAGTGTTGTCACTTCCCTACCCCCTGATTGGACAGTAAAAGAGCAGAACAACACTGGTGAGGTCATCACATGCAAATTTGCATCATTATGCAAAGTAATAAAGACTGCTAGTGCTGATGCTTCCTTTCCCAGGCTCAGCCCTGCTGTATAGGGGATTATAGGGAAGCCAAATTAAGATACTTAGACCAGCTGTATTTAAAATGTTAATCATTTTTAAAAAAACATATTAAAAAAAGGTATTTAACCACTTCCTGTCCGGACACTTTTACCCCCTTCCTGTCCAGGGCAATTTTCAGCTTTCAGCGCTATCACACTTTGTACCCATATGAATTTTTTACCATTTTTTTTTGAGACAGATAAAGCATTATTTTGGTGGTATTTATTCACCGCTGGGATTTTTATTTTTTTTGCTATGTAAATGAAAAAGTCCAAAAATTTTGAAAAAAGTGTTTTTCTTATAAAATTTTGCAAATAAATAACCTTTCATCATAAATGTTGACCAAAATGTATTCCGTTATATTTTTAGTAAAAAAAAATAAGCCAAATTAGTTTATAACCAAAAATTATAATTTTTAAACTTTTTTTTTACATTTTTATTTTATTTTATTTTTTTTTACATACTGTCACCCTAGCAGTACAGTGTCACCATGGTGACACTGTACTACTTGTGGGGGGTGATGAAGATTTTATTTTTTTTTTACAGTGATTGCTTTCACACCCATATAGGATGTAAAAGCAATCATTTCTCTTTCTCTCTGTCTGCATTCTTGCAGCCATTGAGAAATATTGAGTGAGCTGTGATTGGTCACACCTTGTCACATGGTACAAGGCTGTTGTGAATAGCCTTGTACCATGTGACCTCTGTGATCATTCACAGATTTCACACATAGTAAGCAATGATGTCACAAGTGACATCTTGCGTACTACTTTGCATGTGATCACTGATTGGTCAATCAGTGATCACATGATCAGGACCTCGTACAGAGGTCCCGTCCGACGATCGGTGTTTCACTGTGTCCGGAGGACACAGCAGGCACCGGATCGCGGTGCTGCGTGCTCCCAGGTAGCGCGCACAGCTAGAAAAGGCAGGTGCCGTTTATGAACGGCAACCCGCCCCTGGAGTGCCACCGCCCTGCCGTTTATAAACAGCAGGCGGATGGCAAGTGGTTAATATATGCCTGAAGATCAGTTTAAAAAGAGGTTGGGTGTGGTGGGGTTGGGAGCAGGACGAATTTCATCATCAACCAGAAAAATAGATATTTTCATATAATGTAGGCTGCTTGTATCTTTGAATCTACAGAACATTTTGGCGTGCATTTTTTTTTTCACTGAAGGTAACATCTGCTTCTATATTTTCATCATATGCTCAGTCTAGATTGCAGTGGGCTACCCTTCTAGAAAATTTCCCATTTAGCTATTGGGTAAAATGGAATGGACTTTACTATTTTTCCTAAATTCAGCATCCTTTCAATGTGAGGGTCATTCAAAGTACTTTAATAATAGCCAATAATTTATACAATATTACTTACCCGTATTTTCCGGCCTATAAGACGACTTTTTGACCCTTGAAAATCTTCTCAAAAGTCGGGGGTCGTCTTATACGCCGGTACACGTCAGGGGGCACTTTTTAAGAGGGCGGCGCGGTGCTGCCGCCGTCCCCCCCTTCCGACAGAAGGGACACCAAGTACAGGGGTGGGCAGAGGGCTGCAGTCTCTTACCTGGCTCCCACGACGATCCATCCAGGAAGCGCTGCTCCTTCAGTCACTCCGGCCACTCCCTCACTCCTGCTGCTCGGCTCCGCCTCCTCACCGGTGATTGGCCGCCAGAACTGTAGCTCAGGAAAGGCACACAGGCGGTCAATCACGGGCGAGGAGGCGGAGCCGAGCGGACCCACGAAAATCGAGTGAGGGTAAGTGTGCAGTGCAGAGGTGGTGCTGCAACCACATATGCTGGCTGCAGCAGTACCATACTAGAACAGGGTCAGCAAGTGTCATTGGTGTCAGTGGGAGGAATAGTGCCCCATCATTGGTGTCACTGATACTAATGATGGGGCATTATTCCTCCCACTGATACCAATGATGGGGCACTATTCCTCCCACTGACACCAATGATGGGGCACTATTCCTCCCCCCACTGACACCTACGATGGGGCACTATTCCTCTCCCCACTGACGGAGTACTATTCCTTCCACAGACACCAATGTTGGGACACTATTCCTCCCACTGACACCAATGATGGGGCACTATTCCTCCCACTGACACCAATGTTGGGACACTATTCCTCCTACTGACACCAATGATGGGGCGCTATTCCTCCCACTGAAACCAATGATGGGGCGCTATTCCTCCCACTGACACCAATGATGGGGCGCTATTCCTCCCACTGACACCAATGATGGGGCGCTATTCCTCCCACTGACACCAATGTTGGGGCACGATTCTTCCCACTGATACCAATGATGGGGTGCTATTCCTCCCACTGACACCAATGATGGGGCACGATTCGTTGCTCTGACACCAATGATGGGGCACGATTCCTCCCACTGACACTAATGATGGGGCGCTATTCCCACGGACACCAATGATGGGGTGCTATTCCTGCCACTGACACCAATGATGGGGCACGATTTGTTGCTCTGACACCAATGATGGGGCACTATTCCTCCTACTGACACCAATGATGGGGCGCTATTCCTCCCACTGAAACCAATGATGGGGCGCTATTCCTCCCACTGACACCAATGATGGGGCGCTATTCCTCCCACTGACACCAATGATGGGGTGCTATTCCTCCCACTGACACCAATGATGGGGCACGATTCGTTGCTCTGACACCAATGATGGGGCACGATTCCTCCCACTGACACCAATGATGGGGCGCTATTCCTCCCACGGACACCAATGATGGGGTGCTATTCCTGCCTGTCACCAATGATGGGGCACGATTTGTTGCTCTGACACCAATGATGGGGCACTATTCCTCCCACTGACACCAATGATGGGCCACTATTCCTCCCACAGACACCAATGATGGGGCACTATTCCTCCCACTGACACTAATGATGGGACACTATTCCTCACACACTGACACTAATGATGGGGCACCATCATTGGTGTCAATGGGAGGAATAGTGCCCCATCATTGGTGTCAGTGGGAGGAATAGTGCCCCATCATTGGTGTCAGAGTGAGGAATCATGCCCCATCATTGGAATACCATACCATATTGAAATCAAATCTGATGTTTTTTAATTTTTGGTGTGCGTTGGAAGAGGGGTAGTCTTATACGGCGAGTATAGCCCAAACCCTATATTTTAACAGGAAAAGTAGGGGGTCGTCTTATACGCCCAGTCGTCTTATACGCCGGAAAATACGGTAGTTATACAGTGGCAGAGTGGCCTGCCTGCGCAGGATCATGTACCTAGTATGTGATCCGTGCACTTTTCACAGCATATGCCAATCAATGGGGTCTGGGCAATGATTGACTGCCGACACCCAGTGATCAGCTCTGAGCTTCACAAAACACAGCTCTGTGTATGTAAACTGTGTTCAGTGACATGGGATCTGGTTGGTTGTTCATTCCCTGTGAAGCATGGAATGAAAGCAGCTAAATCCCAAGTGAAAGCACACTTTACATAAACAGTTGTTAGGCACACAATTAACCCCTTGATCGCCCTTGATTTTAACCCCTTCCTGCCCAGTGTCATTAGCACAGTGACAGTACATATTCTTAGCACTGATCACTGTAATAATGTCACTGGTGATGTCAGTAGCAGTTAGTTCCCCCCCCCAGTGTCAGATTGCTGCCGCACCATTGCAGTTCCATTATAAGTCGTTGATCGCTGACAATAGTAGTATAAAAAAAAATTTTTTTACTAAAGACTTGGCAGAATACATTTTGGCCAAAATTTATGAAGAGAATTTTTTTTTTATTGGATATGTTTTATAGCGGAAAGTAAACAATATTGGATTCTTTTTAAAATTATCGGTCTTTTTTGTTTATCTCACAAAAAATAAAATCTCAGTGGTGATCAAATATCACCAACAGACAGCTCAATTTGTGTGAAAAAAAAATTATATATATCTTTGTGTACAGTATTGCATGACCGTGCAGTTGTCAAAGTAGCGAAGTGTGGTATAGCAAAAAATGCCCTGGTCAGGAAGGGGGTAAAATCTTCAGGAGAGCAAGTGGTTAATTATACAACTGTACAAAACATGCAATTACGAACTTTGCTTTAAAAACATAACAATTAGCAAAACAAATTTTAGTTTCCTTTTAAGAACTGTAAATTGAATCTATATTACATGGGGATTACAGGGGTCATGGTTGTGGCTTTCCTTGGCCTTCAGAGGACATTTACAACTCTAGAAAGCTCTAAATTTTAACTAGATCAAAATCTAATTTAAGCCATAATATCCCCTTAACGCCAGCACGGGGTTTCTGATGCCAGGTGACGGGGCGGGGTTTATGATCATGTGACCGACGTCATTGGCTGTCACAGCAGTCACATGATCGGAAAGCTCCCGATCGCAAGTACCAATCAGGAGCGTTCCATTAGGTGCTGGCAACTGCTGTGAGCAGGGGCGGACTGACCATTTGGAAACTCAGGCACTGCCCGAAGGCCCGGGGTCAGTAGGGGGCCCCATGAGATGCCCCTGGTACCTTTTTCATAGGCTTTTTTGAGTTTGGGCAAGGACACAGGGGCCCCATGATCCTCTATTGCCCGGGGGCCCCATGAGTTGTCAGTCCACCCCTGGCTGGCACGCGCTATTGGCACAGGTTGGTTTACATTTTGATACAAATATATGCTGCCTCGCGGCATCAAGGCCCACCCGCCAAGGGGCCTCGTATATGCGTACTGGCAGCAAAAAGAGGTTAAGGTAGTTGGTTTAAATATTTTAAAATCTGCAGCTTTCATTAAAATAACTGTGGATCCTGCCAAGAAGGTCCTGATTCAAGTATTTTCTGTTCCAAATTGACAACTGTGCTCCTGTGTTGTCTCCCTGTCACATGGACCCAAGTGGCCTTGGTGACACATACTGCACAAGCATGTCCACCATTGTCACTAGGTAAACATGGAGTGGCTATAAGAAGCCAAAGGAGATCAAAAGCATGGAGATGAAAAACTGTTTAAAAAAAAAAAAAGGCGTGAAAACAGGTAATAATAAAATCCATGGCAATTGTTTGATACAATGAGGAGAATTTATTAACCACTTGCCTTCCAGAAAATTGCCCCCCCCCCTTCATGACCAGGCCATTTTTTGTTGTGATATGGCGCTGTGTTACTTTGACAATTTTGCATTCATGCAATGCTGTACATAAATTGTCACTTTTTTCCCCACAAACAGAGCTTTGTTCTTGATCACTTCTGGGGTTTTTATTTTTCGTGCTATAAACAAGAGTGACAATTTTGAAAAAAAAAACAATATTTTTGACTTTTTGCTATAAAACATCTAATAAAAAAATTAAAAAAAAAGTTTTTTTCATAAATGTAGGCTAAAACGTGTTCTGCTACATGTCTTTGGTAAAATAAATCCCAATAAGTGTACACTCCCCGTACACTTTATTAGGTACACTTGTGCAATTGCTTTGTAACACAAATTGCTAATCAA